AGCAGACTTTCCCATGACAATACGTCTTCTAATTTCCTGTTCTTTAGGTGTCAAAATTCTACTCGCAACCCAAAGTCCCTGATCTCCTCATAGCATTGAACACGGGTCTGCACAGTCTAATGAGCTCATTGAAACAGTGAAATCCATGTGCTTATGGATGGAATGAAGTCCAGTTACTCAGGTTACAATAAGTATCTCCTGCTAATTAGGAGGTCTTTTTGTTCGTAAATGCAATTTGCTCATGGGTCTTTCAAAGCATAAGGTTTATCTTTGCCTGAGGTGGGGGATAAAGATTCCTTGATGGTTGATAAGGCTGGGAATTATTGTTCCAGCTCTGTGCTGCAAAGCCCTGGGCTTCCCCTCTAGTAACCTGGGAGTAAGTACTCTGAAACAGCCTCACTTTTATTAACCTTATATATTGAGTTTGAATGGGTAAGTAGCCTTGGGGGGTGGGGGTGGGGAAAGCTGTGCTACTGAAACAAAAGACCAACCAACACAAATTGCCCTGTGCCTTCTCCTGAGGGCCTGCGCTGCTTAAGCCATCATGTGGAATTCAGGAGTAGACATGCACACTCTCCAGTATGAAAACTGAGGCAAATGATGTAATCATTCTCCTATCTTCTTATCTTCTTTTTACTTTAGGCACAAGAGTTTTCATCATGGCTGGTAAATTACTTCCCTGCTTCTGTAATCTCAGCTTTTGAGCTTTGGAGCTGGTGAGGAGAGCCTGTCCTGGTCACACAAATGTTCCTATCTTTATTAAGTCCACAGCCCCTACATTTATTTTATTGTTGCTGACTGTTAACACAGCCAAACATACACATTCTGCATGTGTAATTTAGAGACGGGGATCACGTTCTTCAAGTTGTGAAATGTTTCTCACCCTCCTCTTCTTAGCTGTTCCTCTCCCATTAAACGAAATTCACTGCCCTTTACGTTTCCTATTAAATCTTTGGAGTGCTTTTATTGATCATATATATGTTGTTGTTGTTGTTATGTGCCGTCGAGTCGCTTGCGACTCCTAGCGTCCCTATGTACAACAGCCCTAAACTCCGCTCTGTCCTGTGCCAATCGCAC